ACCTTAGGTGTCTTTTGGCCATTTGAACTTCTTCTGTTGAGAGATCTCTGTTCAACTCAGTGCCCCATTTTATAATTGGGTTGATTAGCCTTTTACGGTCTAGTTTCTTGAGTTCTTTATATATTTTGGAGATCAGACCTTTGTCAGTTGCGGGGTTGGTGAAGATCTTCTCCCAGTCAGTGGGTTGCCTTTCTGTCTTAGCAACAGTGTCCTTTGCTTTACAGAAGCTTCTCAGTCTCAGGAGGTCCCATTTATTCAATGAGGCCCTTAGTGTCTGTGCTGCTGGGGTTATACGTAGAAAGTGTTGTAGAGTACTTCCCACTTTCAAAGAAACACTTCTACAGCTTGAATTATACATTAAAACCCACACACTAATAGAGGGAGACTTCAACACTCCCCTCTCACCACTGGACAGGTCAATAAGACAAAAAATGAACAGAGAAATAAGAGAACTAACAGATATTATGACTCAAAGAGACTTAACAGACATATATAGAATATTCTATCCAAAAAGAAAAGAATATACTTTCTTCTCAGCACCTCATGGAACCTTCTCACAAATTGACCACATATTTGGTAACAAAACAAACCTCAACAAATACAAAATAACTAGAATAACCCAATGCACCTTATCAAATCACCATGCTTTAAAACTAGAAGTCAACAGCAATACTAATCCCAGAAAACCCACAAACACATAGAAATTAAACAATGCTCACCTGAATCATCAATGGGTCAAGGAAGAAATAAAGCGGGAAATTAAAGACTTCCTAAAATTCAATGAAATATACCACACAACATACCCAAATTTATGGGGCACAATGAAAGCAGTGTTAAGAGGCAAGTTCATAGCAATAAATGCCTACATAAAGAAGCTGGAAAAATCTCAAACTAGTGAATTAACAGAACATTTGAACAAAAAGAAACAAACTCACCTAAGAGAACTAGAAGGCAGGAAATAAATTGAGAGCTGAAATCAACAAAATAGAAACAAAGAAAATAATACAAAGAATCAATGAGACAAAGAGTGGGTTCTTTGAGAAAAATCAACAAAATAGACAAACCTTTATCCAACTAACCAAAAGACAGAGAGAGAATATACAAATTAACAAAATCAGAAATGAAAAGGGGGACATAACAACAGACGCAGAGGAAATACAGAGGATCATCAGGCCATATTTTGAAAACCTGTACTCCATAAAATTGGAAAACTTAAAAGGAAATGGACAACTTTCTGGATAAATATCACTTACCAAAATTAAATCAAGACCAAATAGGCAAAGTAAACAGACCTATAACTGCTAAAGAAATAGAAATAGTCATCAAAAGTCTCCCAACCAAAAAAAGCCCAGGACCAGATGGTTTCAGCTCAAAATTCTACAAGACTTTCAAAGAACTAATACCAATACTGCTCAAATTATTCCACACAAAAGAAAGAGGGAACATTGCCAAACTCCTTTTTTGAGGTTACAATTACCCTGATACCCAAACCACAGAAAGACAATACTAAGAGAATTACAGACCAATCTCACTCATGAACATTGATGCAATAATACTAAACAAAATACTAGCAAACTGAATCCAAGAACACATCAGAACCATCATCCACTATGACTAAGTCGGCTTCATCCCAGAGATGAGGAAATGGTTCAACATACAAAAATCTGTCAACGCAATCAATCATATAAACAAGCTGAAAAATAAAAACCACATGATCATCTCATTAGATGCTGAAAAGCATCTGACAAAATACAACATCCCTTTATGATAAAGGTCTTGGAGAGAGCAGGGATACATACCTAAACATAATTAAGGCAATATACAGCAAGCCAACAGCCAACATCAAACTAAATGGAGAGAAACTCCCAGCGATTACCCTGAAATCAGGAACAAGACAAGGTTGTCCATTCTCTCTATATCTATTCAATATAATTCTTAAAGTCCTAGCTAGAGAAATAAGACACCAAAGGGAGATCAGGGGATACAAACTGGAAAAGAAATCAAATTCTCAATATTTGTTGATGATATGATAGTTTACATAAGTGATCCCAAAAATTCTACCAAGGAACTTCTACAACACATAAACACTTTTAGCAGTGTAGCAGGATACAAGATTAACTCAAAAAAAAAAAAAATCAGTAGCCCTCCTGTACACAGATGATAAAGGGCTAGGGAAGAAACAAGAGAATCAACACCCTTCACAATAGTCACAACTAGCATAAAATATCTTGGAGTAACTCTAACCAAACAAGTGGAAGACTTGTATAACAACTTTGAAGAAAGAAATTGAAGAAGACACCAGAAAGTGGAAAGATCTCCCATGCTCTTGGGTAAGCAGAATTAACATAGTAATAATGGCAATCTTACCAAAAGCAATCTACAGATTCATGGCAATGCCCATCAAAATCCCAGCAAAAGTCTTCAAAGACCAACTTCATTTGGAAAAGCAAAAAACCCAGGATAGCCAAAACAATCCTGTGCAATAAAAAAACTTCTGGAGGCATCACAATTCCTGACTTCAAACTCTACTACAGAGCTACAGTAGTGAAAACAGCCTGGTATTGGCGTAAGGTTTTGATTCTACTGCGTGGACAGGCTTTATGGGAGCCTAGTCTGTCTGGGTGCTCACCTTCCTGGACCTGGGGGGAGCAGGGAGGACCTTGGACTTCCCATAGGGTAGGGAACCCTGACTGCTTCTTAGACTGGAGAAGGAGGAGGAGTGGGGGCAGAGGAGGGAAGTGGGAATGATGGGGGAGAGTCTTCTGTTTTGTGTTAATTTCATTGGTTAAATAAAGAGACTGCCTTGGCCCTGATAGGACAGAAAATTAGGTAGGTGGAGTAAGCAGAACAGAATGCTGGGAGAAAGAAGTCGAGTCAGTCAGTTGCCATGATTCTCCCATTCCAGACAGATGCAGGTTAAGATCTTTCCTGGGAAGCCAGCTCGTGGTACTATACAGAATATTGGAAATGGGTTAGATCAATATGTAAGAGCTAGCCAAAAAGAGGTTAAAACTAATGGACCAAGCAGTGTTTAAAAGAATACAGTTTCCGTGTAATTATTTTGGGTAAAGCTAGCCATGCGGAGCTGGGCAAGAACGCAGACCACAGCTCCTTACAACATGGGAGGAGGGGAGGAGGTGGAAATTTTCAATTAAAAAAAAAAAAGAACAGATAGGAGGACCAATGGAACCAACAGAAGACCCAGATATCAATCCACACACCTTCGAACACCTGAACTTTGATAAAGAAGCAAAAATTATCAAATGAAAAAAAGAAAGCATATTTAACAAGTGGTGCTGGCATAACTGGATATCAACACGTAGAAAAATAAAAATAGACCCATATCTATCACCATGCACAAAACTCAAGTCCAACTGCATCAAAGACCTCGACATAAAGCCAGCCACACTAAACCTTATAGAAGAGAAAGTGGGAAGTACACTTGAACACATTGGCACAGGAAACTACTTCCTAAATAGAACCCCAGTAGCACAGACCCTGAGAGAAACAATTAATAAATGGGCCCTCCTGAAACTGAAAAACTTCTGTAAAGCAAAGGACACACGGTCAACAAGACAAAACGACAGCCTACAGAATGGGAAAAGATCTTCACTATCCCCACATCAGAGGTTTGATCTCTAAAATATACAAAGAACTCAAGAAATTGGACACCAAAAAAATCACATAATCCAATAAAAAAAATGTAGTACAGACCTAAACAGAGAAATCTCAACAGAGGAATCTAAAATGGATGAAAGACACTTAAGGAAATGTTCAACATCCTTAGTCATCAGAGAAATTCAAATCAAAACAACTCTGAGATTCTATCTTACACCTGTAAGAATGGCCAAGATCAAAAACACTGATGACAACTTATGCTGGAAAGGTGGTGGGGAAAAGGGAACACTTCTGCATTGCTGGTGGGAATGCAAGTTGGTACAACCCCTTTGGATGTCAGTGTGGCGATTTCTCAGAAAATTAGGAAACAATCTTCAAGACCAAATAATAGCATGTTTGGGTATATATCCAAAGGATGCCCAATCGTGCCACAAAGACATGTGCTCAACTATGTTCATAGCAGCTTTGTTTGTCATAGCCAGAACCTGGAAGCAACCTAAATGCCCCTTGATGGAAGAATGGAAAAGAAAAATGTGGTACATTTACACAATGGAGTACTACACAGCAGAAAAAAATAACGACAGGCTGAATTTTGCAGGCAAATGGATAGAGCTAGAAACATTATTTTGAATGAGGTAACCCAGACACAGAAAGACATGTACTCACTCATAGGTGGTTCTTAAACATAAAGCAAAGAAAGCCAGCCTACAAACCACAATCCCAGAGAACTTAGACAACAATGAGGACAACTAAGAGAGACTTACATAGATCTAATCTACATGGGAAGTAGAAAGTATAAAAAGACAAGATCTCCTGAGTAAACTGGGACTATGGGGACCTTAGGGGAGGACTGAAGTGGGGAGGGAAGCAGAGAAAAATGTAGAGCTCAATAAATATCAATAAAAAAATGTTGGAGATTAAAAAAAAACAGATTAAAACATTTTTGTTCACATCTATGTACCTATGAGGATATGCCAAGTGTGTACAGATACGTAAAACAAAACAAAACAAAAAGAGAGTGGCTAATTCCTAAGCCCCTGAAGCTGGAGTCACAGGCAGTTTTGAGTGACATGACATGGGTGCTGAGAATCAAACCCAGATCTTCTAAAAGAGCAGCAAATGCTCTTAACATCTAAGTCATCTCTCCAGCTCCTTTAAACCAATAAAATATTCTTGGAGTTAGGATAATTCTCAGAGATGGCCATATTAAATTAAAATACAGAAAGTCCTCTTAAATTTTTAACTAAGTAAAGAGATAATATTACGATGCCATCCAAAATGAATATTACAATGGATTCTTGAGTAAGTTGTATAATATTAGAGAATGACAACAGAACCCTAACCAAATGGTATGGAGGTAACAAGCAAAAATAAACTCTTACCTGTAATATACTTCCTAGTTGTTTATGAAAGAACTTGACAAACTCTTTGCTCTCATCATTTTGTTGGGTAAGGGTCAAAACCATACGTCTTACTGAAGTGAGAAGTTGAGAAGAACACACTTCATCCATGTGCTCCTAAGAAAAACCCTAGTAGGTTAGGATATAAACTCATCTATAATTGAAAAAGTATTAATCTACACAATTTGAAATTTTATTCTCTTGCATAGTTTCTCATTTTCCAGAGATATTGGCCAGTCTCTACAGTATATACACGGAAAGGTTTGGGGATTTTAACCCATACACTAGAAAATGACCAATAAAGAAATTTACTATTCAAATACTTTCTATCACTTCCTATCTGTACTAAGGAGAATTATGCATGCTGACCTTTCAACTTGTCTGTCTTCCTGATTATAGTTCATAATTTCAACCATGTTTACAATCTTACCAACCTTCTATCCAATTTCCTCTCTATTATGTCTATGGTGTTTCAAATAAGAATGGCTTTCAGAGGCTCATAGAGCTGAATCTTAGCCACTTTGGAGTGGATTGCTTGTTTAGAATTAGAAGGTTTAGGAAGTGCAGTCTTGCTGGAGAATGGGTATTACTGAGGATAGGGCTTTCAGGTCTCAAAAGCTCATGCCAGGTCCAATCTCTCTCTGCCTACTACTAATGACTCTCAACAACTCCGGTCACACTTGCTATGCCAGCCATCATGCTAATGAACTATTCCTCTGGAACTGTAAGCAAGCCCTCAATTAAATGCTTTTTCTCTTGCCACAGTCATAGTGTCCTCCTAACAGTTGCTAGTAACTACACCAGCAATACCTGTACCCATACCAATAACTAAATATTATGAGATGTCTTCCTAACTTCTTTAAAATAACACATAGAGCATGTCTCTTCTTAACTGCACCTTAGAAACCTTGTGAAAAAAACAGTGTGGTGGCATGTGTGTGATTCTAGCACTTGGAGGGGGAGGCAGGAGGTGACGGTTTTTAGTTCTAGGCCAACCATGGCTATATACTAAAACTCTGTCACAAAACCCTAAACTATATGTGAATTATGAAATAAACTTAGCCTTATTAGCTTCTCAAGGTCAGTCTAGAGCAGACCTGTAACAAGTACTTTCAAGGTTCTCATCTCCTTTTCTGCTATTAATTCAAGCAGATCCCGTCACCTTTTTTCCATGTCAAATTCCACTCTTCCACTAACAAGGAGGTGGCCAAACTACATGAGGCCAAAGATTGACCTAAGTACATAAAACATAAATAAGCTCATGTGCCAAGGCAGTTCCTTTCTGCAAGGGGCCAAAGACTAGTAAGTGATTTCTTAAGATGGTGTCTCATTACATAGCTCAAGCTGACCTTTGACTCTTGACACTCTTGCTTCAGCCTACTGACTACTGGGACTACAGGTATGTACCACCATGCTTGGTTTCTAACAAGTCAACATAGACAACATATTAAAAAGATATCTTACATTAAAAAATACCATTAACTAAAACACTTTTCCAATATTGTAATCATTTAGAGAAAAATATTTAAAAATTATTCTACCACCTGCAAAGCTTCCTCATGCCATCCCTTTTCTGACTTTCCTTCTTTCAAACTGTATGAGTATGTGTAGGGGCCTGAGTGCATGTGTGTGTACCACACTTGTTCCCAGTGTCTGAGGCCAGAAGATGGCGGGAGAGCCCCTGGAATTGTATTTACTTGTGAAACAACACGCTGAGTGCTAGGAACCCAACTTGGGTCTTCAGTAAAAGCAGCAAATTCTCTTAACCACTGAATCAGCTCTCCAAACACAGATTAAACCCAAAACAACAGTGGGTGACTTTAATATCATACCTTACCAAAGACAGATCATTTTGATAAAAAATAGGCACATACGAGTTAAATGGCATTATAGACCAAATATATCTAACAGACATCTTATAATGCTTTGAGCATTGTTTTTTTTTAACCTTACTGTTCTTTTGCTTAGACAGTCTGTTTTTCTGTTTTAGTGCCCTTCACCCCCCGTGTGTTTGTGTACCTCTTGGAATTTTTTGCTGCTTTCTGTTTGTTTTATTCTATTCTGGTTTGTTTATCTGCCTGTTTTCTGAAGAGAAATAAGAGGAGGCATGGAACTGGATGGGTGGGGAGGATCTAGGAGAAGATGAGGGAGTGTAAATAATGAGAATATACTGTAAGGGAAAAACTTTTAAAAAAAGTAAAATGAGCCTATGACAGTATATTTTATAGTTTTCGATATCTGGGTGAAATGCAAACTACATTTTCATTTCCAACATTTAAAATTTTTACTTTAGATGAAAAGAGTACAATTTTAAAATTCTTATTTTAGATGAAAACATAAGATACAATTTCAAAAAGCAATTCACTTCTTCAACTAGCCTACAACTCACTATGTATAGTTGGCCTCGATCTCAGAATTCTACCTATTTATGCAACACTACTACACCCAACCAAATTTCACTTGTACATTTTTTTCCTTTGCCCTGTTAAAAGCATTATTTACAAGTACGTATTATGTAGACACTTTTAGCAATTATATACACTGGTTTATTTTAAAAAATTGTTTACCTTCAAAAAGGGAATGACTTCCTTCATAATTGCTTTAATTTGGCGGTCCAGTTGTTGAGTATCTATTCTAGGACATGGGACAGCAGAAACGTCACTTACAGGTTGTGACGAAACGTGATTCTCAATAATGGGAGTTTCTGCTTTTTAAGAAAAATGATGTATCAGCAAATGTCAATGACAAACATAGATATATACACATTTATATAACATCTTATAGAATGTTATATAATTTTATTCTAAAATAAAACAAAGGAAAAAACAAGTATTTTATCAGTCCTTATAATCAAAAGAAAGCAGTAATAAAACCACTAGTATTAAATAAAAAGGGTTTTAACTTTTTTTTGTAAATACAGAATGGCAAGTACATAGTTCAGACTAGTCCTGAATTTGCAATGTAGCCAATACTAGATTTAATTCTCCTGCTACAACCTCTTGAGTTCTGTGATTACAGCTATGTCCAGCTAGCTTTAGCTTTTATATGCAACTTTTGATTATTACTTCTGATCACTCTAAAAACACACCTTCTAAATTACTGACTGTGGTAGTGGCAGCAGCAGCATCTTCATCCTCAATAACCCTGCAAGTACATCTCATATTTGAGTTACTTTCAGTCTCGGTCTTCATGCGTTCATATTCTCTCATTCTGGCTAATGCTTGATCCAAGTGAATCACGGTGTTACCTGAATTTGGAACAGAAATATTTCTAGAATATGTAAAAGCAAATCTTTTCCCATACTCTCAAAAATATAAAAATCCGAACACAAGGAAGTAAAATCAGTTTTTAAAGACCTATTTTTATATATGTATGGATATATACGTGTCTGTGTAACAGAATGTCACATGTGTGCCGGTAGCTCATTGAGACCAGGAAAAGGTACTGATCTCCTTGGAGTTACAGGCACCTGTAGTACTACAGCAGTAGTGAGCCACCTGATATAGGTGCTCTTAACTGCTGAGCCATCTCTCCAGCCCAGAATTAGCTTTGAAAGAATTTCCCTTTACTGTACTAATGAGGCACTTCATGTACATCATCAGCAGCTATTTGTTTAATCCGTAAATGACCCTACAATGACAGCACTTAAGTAGCTTATTGCTTCAGATTGCATAACCAGTTAAGTAAAAGGATTGTTATAAAATTTGAGTTTTTATCTCAAACTATTAGCTTCACATTTTTATTGAAAACACGTTTGGAGAAACCATGGATTTTCCTCAATAACTAAGTAGATGATCTTTCTCCTTAAGGAAAAATAAAGTTTCATTTAAAAAGCAAAACTACTATAGTTCATATTTGAAAGGTCAATGTTTTTCCCAAGAATATAGCAAACTAGACATGGGTCCTACTTCTTCAGCATTTGCATACCTATAGAGAGTAGATAATTTGCCCCAGGTCAAGGAATAAACAGGAGTCATGGATTTAGACTGATGGATTTTTTTTTGTGTGTTCATCCTAGTTATTTCCTTAGTCAACAGCTCAAAGACTGCAAAGAGATAATCTTAAAGTCATATGCAAGATTATTAAGAAAGCTCTGCTTACCTAGATCATCTGTTGCAAAAGGCTCAAAGTTGGAAGACATAGACATGACACTCACATTATCAGCATCGTTTTGTTCACTTATTTTGTGTGTTTCTCTTTCAAAGTTCTTCTCGAACGTTTCCTAAGTTAAACAAAAATCACTAAATATTCCATTGAAAGCACTAAATATTCCATCTAACACAGAAACTCTTATTTCCATAAAACCATATACCAAAAAGGGTACTAAGAAGTTGCATGAGTAATCTACCCAGACAAGACCACAATAAAACCCATTATTAAAACATTAAAATATTAAGTAATTTTGGAGAACTTCCTTGATAAATAAAAATAAGAAAGCCAACTCTCATTAAAAATTATAAATTGATAGTTAACATTTTAAATTATCTTTACATTCTAATTGACACTTTATCTCTAGATTCTTACTATATGTATCTCATTTGTAGTGGCATTTCATTTGTATTTTAATAAATAAAACTTGTCTGAGGGATCAGAAGAGTAAAACAACCCCACTGGCCAGCCTTATATCCAGGCTGCAAGTGTACCACACACCTTTTTATCCAAGTAGCCACTATAGATTGCCACAGAAATCAGGCAGTAGTGATGCATGCCCTTAATCCCAGAACTAGAGAGGATTATAAAACGAAAGGAGACAGTTCTCAATCACAGTCTTATTCTTTTTTTTTTTTTTTGGTTTTTCGAGATAGGGTTTCTCTGTGGCTTTGGAGCCTGTCCTGGAACTAGCTCTGTAGACCAGGCTGGTCTCGAACTCACAGAGATCCGCCTGCCTCTGCCTCCCGAGTGCTGGGATTATTAAAGGTTTGCGCCACCATCGCCCGGCTTCACAATCTTATTTTGAGATTCCCGGAAACAGGATCGCCATTTTCGGACTGACTTAGAGGTAAGAATCAGTGCCTGAACCTGTAAATAGGCCACTCCCAAGTATCTGGCACATAATAGTGTCCTACCATTTTCTATGTTTTTTATACTTGATTAAAAAATTTGCCTACGTAGAATACATTAAATTACATTTAACTTTTTTTTGAATGATTTTCTTTTGTCCAGGTTTTTCTGTGATCTGATTGGTATTTGACCTACTAAATGTTCTCAAGAATACAACAAAGACTTATTAAATACCCAATAAAAATATGTGTGGCTATTGCAGGGTTCTTTCAGTATTTTGTTGTTGTTTTGACACAGGATTTCTCTGTATAACAGCCCTGACTGTCTTGGAACTAACTCTGTAGACCAGGCTGCCAGGCTTCTGTGAACTCACAGAGATCTGTCTACCTCTGCCTCCGGAGTGCTGGAATTAAAGGTGTGGGCCACCACTGCCCAGCTATTGCAGGATTCTTAATTTATCATTTGTTAAAGCTCAATATCAACTATATGATCTAACTTCAACTTTTGTTTATTATACATTGACAGTAGGTCCACATTTAACATATCATATTGGCTTACATCATCAGTAGTAGCAAGGCTTTCACTTGGAGTAAGTTCTGAGTTTGATGCCACCCAAGTACCAGAATTCACAGACTTTATATTTTCTCCTTCTTTTTCATCACTTTCAGAAATATGTCTGGATACAATATCCTAAATAAGGAAATGAAGACATTTATATAACACACACACACACACACACACACACACACACACACACACACATATATATGTATATATATATATATGTGTGTTTAACTCCAAATTTATGTTACAAATTTAAAATTCAAAGGAGATGGAAGATAAAGTACTTTTCATAGATTAAATAAAAGGCATATATATATATATCACAGAAAATGCATATAAAGCTATAAGAAGTTTAAAATAAAATGGTGCAAAAAGCAGAGAACTAATCTAATGGCATAGAGAGTAAGGATGTGCCTTTCTTAAGAAAGTTACCATGGATAAGCATGGAGTAAACTGATAGAATATGAGGTACCATATACCTGCAATGCATATAACGCCCTCTGTCTCAAGTAGTCTGTATTAAGTAGTTGCAGCTCATGGAAAAGTTCAATAAGAAAATGTGGACGAGACTCATTTTGAGAAATTAATGTAGCTACTTCAGAATAAATAGTATCCCGTAAAGCTTCAAACATGGAAAAATCACTTCCAGTTTCTGGAAGATAAAAAAAGATCAAGAAAACAACAATATAATACCTTCATATTAACTCCTATTAATCTGTATCATTTTCTAAACTTTAATTGAACATAATTCTATTTCAGGACTTTAAAAAATAATCCTAAAGTATCGAGATAAATAGTATGTATTAAAATATGCTATTCAATAATAGCAATATCTGATGCCACAGAGAATATCAATTATGACTTAAAATTAATATTAATCTCAATAAAAAAATTGACCAGATGAGGTATAGCCTACCCAGCAATGTGGAACATAAGGAAGGGCTGCAAGTTAAAACTAACAGCTTGGGCTACATAGCCAAAAACTGGCTGAAAACAGCCTGAAAAATTGTATGTACCTCATGAGACTAATCACTCTATAAGCACTTGAATGCAATAAGCTAGATTAACATAAGTTTGGTTTATTTTGGTAATACAAACTTCATTTAAGAAATAGGAAGCCTGTTTATTAATATTGGGAAAAAATTTATTACAGCATGACACTGTACAATTTTATGCCATAACTGGTCAATTTCACTACAATGTCATATTTATATAACTGGTTCAAATCAGAGTAGAAGGTGCTCAACTACACTTGCTAGTTTTACAGACACTCCACATCACTTTATTATTTAGCTAAAATACGTTCCCATAAACTGATGACAACATTTTTAAAGTCATACTCTTTTTGTGGCGTGTGTAGTGATGGAAACCAGTCCCAGGGCCTTTGAATAATATGCTTACCCTTAAACTTTTTTCAGGAGACAAATAAGAAATTTTGTGTTCTCTCTAGTAACAGAAACAAAAACAGCTCACACCCAAGTGGTTCTTCTAACTGCAAAATTCTGTAATCTTTCTAGAACAGCAGAACTTGCAAGTATCTAGTTAAATATTTTCTTCAAAAATAATGATTCTAAGAAAAATAAAAAATGCTGAGTTTCAATATATGTCGCTTTTTAAAAAGCATGCAAAGAATATGAGGATGTAATCATTTTTGCAGACAGGGATAAGATAATGCAAAAATAATGTATTCTAATGAAAAAGAATAAGCTCTGCACTAATTGGCTAAGTTACACGAGCAAGTGTTCATTTCCACAAGGTAAAAGACATGCAACCTAACAATCTTTCCTTAAGATGGTTGTGCATTTTTAAAGGTGATGGATTAAAGTTCTCCTCAGCTTCATAGCTTAATAAATCCACATGGGATGTATCAAAATAAAAGTAACACTAACTAAAATAGGAATGAAAACCAAGACATCTCTATTTCAAGAAAGGAAAATCCAGACCAGGGTACTACTTGTTATGTAAATGTTCAATTCACATATGGCAAAATAACCAGAGTTTAATTTTTAAAATGTTTCTTTCAAAGCTTTAAAGTAATGGCTTAACAGTTTGGTAAGATAAAAAGTATTCTACGACAAAATTATTCCTAATTACAACCTTCATCTCATTTTTTTATGCTGTTAGAAGTTTTAAATTTCATGTCAGTCTTTCCTCCTAAACTAAAATTAATGCTAAAAAAAAAACCTCCCTAATCTCTGTCAACCGAATTTAGATTCTATTACTTTACATCTAGTATATTTGTCAGGTCTGGGTCCTTGTTTTGCTTGACATTTTGGTTATGAACCAAGCCTTTGCTCTCACCTATGTTTAACTTTCTTTAGAAACCCCTAAGGATTCAAATAGGACTTTACTTTCCATTCATATATTGCTGCAGGAGGAGCTAAAATGTTTTTATAATTGTAAATCATATGAATCACATTAAATAAAAAAAACCCTCATTACTGCTGCAATAGGGGGTAAAATATTTTTTAATTGTAATTCATATAAAACTGTATCTAATACAAATATGTGTTTTGGAGTTAAAATAGCATTTTGGAATACTTCTAAATTTCTAAGATCTTTAGTCTATGCCCATCATAGTTGGATTTTTTTGATTTTTCTTTTCAGATATTGGCAGGTAGCAAAAAAATACCTATGGTATAAAAACAGCTGTATCTACTTACAAAAAAATTAATGCTTTTTGCTATTTCAGATACATGAAACAAATAAGTTTCAAACACTATTACAAAAACAGTTTCTATCACTTTTACAGATGTGTTTGCTAGATTTCACGTTAACAAAACAAGAAAGGTACCCAGTTTTCCCAACAGTAAATTCTAAGTAAAAGACTGTAGAGTATGAGTTTCTTATCTTTATAAGTTCAGTAACATACATACACTAAGTTAAATCCAAAAAAGAAAAGAAATTCAAAGGTTAGAAAGATGACTCAACAGTTAAGAGTACTAGATGTTCTAGGAGGACTCAGGTTCAGTTCCCAGGACCCACATGGGGGCTAATAACTGTCTGTAGGTCCAGCCCCAGGCATTCAACTCACAGAAATACATGTAAGGCAAAGAACCCACACACATAAAACTAATAAACAAAAAAAGTTGGGTCTGGTAGCACATGGTTTTAATTCCAGCACTCGGGAAGCAGAGGGAGGTGAATCTCAAGTTCAAGGCCACCCTGGTCTACACAAAAAGCTCCAGGACAGCCAGGGCTCTGTACAGAGACCCTAATAAAACAAAACCAAACAAACAAAAAAATTAGGATAATATAAGAATTTTAGATTCAAAATAGAAAGGTAAAAAACACAGACACCAGAATTAAGCAGAGTGTTACCTGGCACTTCATCACATGCATTTCTGTTAGATTTGCTAGCTTGGTCTAGTATTTTAGCACACGCTGTAGGAAAGGACAGACACAGGAGGAACATAATATGTCTATGTGTTGTAAAGACAGCCTTTATAGTAAGTAATTGAGAAAAATAAATTTAAAATGTTTGCCTACAGTGACATGTCATTACAAGGAACAGTTTATGCTTTATCTGCAAGCAGACTCGTCAAAAGGGCAGAAGAGATGATGCAGTGGTTAAGAGTAAGCCCTAGATCTTCCAGAGGACCCATGTTTGAGTCTCAACACTTACAACGTGGCTCACAACCACCTAGAAACTACAGTCCCAGATCTGATGTTCTCTACTCGCTTCCTCAAGGACCTCATGTGGTACCTAAACAAAACATCCATAAGCATAATTCTTTTATTTAAAAATTGGAAGTAATCTCAGTAAAGAAACTCTGCTATAAGCTAAATGACAGTCATAGTGAAGTACTGTCATTTGGGGAGGAGCCTATAATTCCCATGGGAGAAGAGGAAACCATATCCAATAAACACAATAAATGCTGCACTCTAGCTAGCAAAGTCACAATAAGCATCATCAATAAACAATGCAGAGAATCTTAGGGTCACAATAAATGAAAAACATGTCTTAGAATATTAAGGAGTAGCATATTTAGCATGTTTTTACACTCAAAATATTTATTTAACCAAAATTCAATAATTCTTTGAGACAGGTTATTACTATGTGTCCCTGGCTGGTAGACAAGTCAATATGTGGACAAAACTGACCTCCAACTCACACAGATATGCCTGTCTCTGACCTCTAATTACTAGGATTAGCGCCATGTGCCACCATGCTTGAACTCAATTTTTTTTAAACTGACAACAATAAAATTAGGAATACTAACTTTCAATGTAAGTAATAATACTAAATTTTTATGAAGTCATTCAATTTTGTGGCCTTTCTCAACTCCCACCCAACTCTTTGACAATACCACTGTTGGGTTAAAAAAAATAGTGAAAAGAGATGAAAATTTAAAAATTTTGCTGGGCCCAGTACAATAGAATTTAAAAAAAAAAAAAAAAGAATCCTGTACAGTTGAAAGTTCAATGCTAGGGGGCTGGAGTGGTGGCTCAGAGGTTAAAGAGCATTGACTGCTCTTCCAGAGGTCCTGAGTTCAATTCCCAGCAACCACATGGTGGCTCACAACCATCTGTAATGAGATCTTGTGCCCTCTACTGGCCTATAGGACATAAGTAGGCAATGAATCTTTAAAAAAAAAAAAAAAAGTTCAATGCTATTAACTCCTAGCAATATAAACTTGCGAAAGCAATTTCAAAATACAAGCACATGTGAAGTTTCTATTCCAATTACAAAGCTAACAACTATTAGTAAACATAAATAAGATTATAGTTTATAAAACTACTGCAAATATTGACACAATTTCTTCTTTCCTTGTTTTCCTTTACATTTTTATTCATACATAGCTGAAATTAGACTGTTCAGTCAACACTCAACCCTCAATTTTTGTTTCTCACTTCTGCTCCCTTGGGGTGAATTCCAAAGAATAGATAATAAGTTAAGGGTATTGTTTTCCAAATTTTATAAGAAAGTCAATTTCATATTGTCAGTCTTTTAACAGTGCTAGAAGAAAACAGGTATTTTCCCTGTGATTCTACAACTGCAAAATGGAAATAAAGCAATGGCATTATGAGACTCAAATGGCATGGGTAAAAATATTTTAAAACAAAAATTCATAATAAAAACAAATGGTAGCTGACATAATTTTTCATCAAAGGAGACAAACAAGACTATGAATCTCTCTGTATTTGAAATGTACCTATTCTTTAAAAAAATCAGTAAAATATAGGTGCTGATTTGCGGTAACCCACAAGTGACTCAGTTTCCATCATGAGTCCATTCTAGCTCAAAAGTCAGAGTTCAAGCTTGCCTGTTCTGCTTGCTCCAGTATCCTTGAAGGCTATGCGACAACTCTGATTAAGCCCATGGGAAAGAGCATTTTGCCCATGAGAAAAGAACATACTAGCTTGTAGAAAGAACACTGCTGATGCCAAACCTTAGGGAACATCCAGATAGAAAAAACTGCTTGTTCAAGGACCGGAATGGTCTTGTGGTTAGATAACGACTGTGCTGTGCTTTGTTCTGCTTTTGTATATAAGCAGGCTCTGAAATAAACTCGGGGCTGGCTATCCAGAGTAAGCTGGCAGTCCCCCAGATCTATCCTGTGTTTTCTACCTCAATTTCTCTCAACATTTCTTTAGCCTCAGTACCCCCTTCCAGACACCCTGGCTGACTTTGTTGGAGAGGGCTCTGACACTGACTTAAAGTAAAATGGTGACAGTGATTGACTCTAGTCAATGAACACTTACTGAAAGCATACCACCTATCACATATTATACCAACATTTAGTGTAAAAATATAAAAAGTAGTTGCTATCAAAGCACACAAAAATTTAAAATCATTTAATACTAAATTCTGTGACTCAGATAATGGAAAATAACAGACAAGAATGGAAATGAAAGGGAAAGCCGGTTAACTTTAGATTCAGACACAAGATTCCAGAATTAAAATTTCACTTAAGAATGAAAGGAGCTGGGCAGTAGTGGCTCGGGAGGAAGAGGGAGGCGGATCTCTGTGAGGTGGTGGCCAGCCTAGCTACAAGAGCTAGTTCCAGGACAGGCTCCAAAGCTGCAGAAAAAAACCCTTGCCTTGAAAAACAAAAACAAATCAAAACAACAACAAAATGAAAGGAACATAAAGAAAAACAACAACAACAAAAAAAACAGGCAAAAAGGAGATGGATGTGATAGGGAAAAGGTAACTGTTAAGCTGAAAGCTAACATGGCAGCCATGGGAATGCTCTGATTCAGGACCACTAGAAAAAGCTTAAGGCAGAGGCTACATTTGTTATACAGAGGGATGCACACTTTAGCGCAGGTATAATGCAGCAAATGTTTTAAGAAGGGAAGTAATGAGATTTCATATCAAATCCTATTTAGGTATGAGTTTCAAAATTTCAATTAGGAATTCCATATATATTATCAATTATTTGTTTTAGAAGAACTTTAATGTGTAGATATAATAAAGAGATCAAAGCAACAAAAAAATAGTTCCAGTTTACATTTCTCTATGATTAAAACATTTCAAAGACAGAACTCTGTGAAAGCCTACTGTTAAAACTTGCTTTAGTGTAGTTTTTCAAATTTAAGATGAATTCCTTGGATTAAAATAAATAAAAAAAGGAACATACCTGAAGATATTTCTGCAGACCTACTATATTTTATTATTTTTTCCAGCTGCTCATGATTCTTTCTGCTGAATAATTTTGCTTGAACAGGCTCTTCAGTCTGGGCTGAATGTCTGTTCCTACTTTTGCAAGGTTCACATGTGCTAGACACACTGGCACTTTCATACCCTCGGGTAAAAGAAGTGACAGCTGTTATCAGTTGCAGCTAACATCCCTGGAAGGGAACTGGTTTCCACAGTAAAACAGTACGAGTAGCTCAATTTAGAGCGGTATAGCAGTCTGGCATAAACAGAATACAAAGTCATGTCTTTGAATACCTTCGAAATAACCTTCAGAAGGGGAGAGTAACAAGAATCAATTCTAGCAGTCCAATCACATCTTTTGATATGTATTGTAATTCCTCACCTGAAAGTAAAGCTATGGGAAATCTTAGGAGATCTGAATTCTCTACCAGACTTCAAGTTAACACATTTTCAATGTTAGGAAACACAAAACAGAAACACTCTACTAAATTTTCTTCCTAAGGTTTTTAAACTTCACATTCATTGTGTTATATGTCACAACTCAATTCCTTTCTTTCTCCATGGATAGATAGTTGCATCTATCCTTTTCTCACTGAATTAAAATATATGCTGATCAATATATTAACCCCCCACATTTAACTCTGTCTTATTTTTTACATGGTTTTAGTCTATTCCCAGATCATTTTTATTCTTTTGGTCACAGAAGTGATGCAGTATGTTTGGTAAAGCAAGCCAGATTTAGCTTCTTTTCTTGACTACTTTTAGATATTTATTCTTCTATGTATGTTGAGGCCATTTTGTTGTTAAGTTTCAAAAACAACCCAAGGCAATGCAAAATAGACTAAAATTAAATGCACTTAATTTGAAGAAGACTTGTATTTAATTTTATACATTTCCATCTCAGAAGGAGCTATGTTTTTATACTTAAATCTTTTTATATTACCCAAAATATATAGCTTTTTATAAACCTACTATTTTTCTTGTTAATAAATATTTGCTCACTTACTCAGTTCCCAACTACTTTATCAGTTTACCTTAACATTAATTATCTTCCAGTATCTTTGGGGATTGTCTAGTATACCAAAAACAAAATGAAAGAACAAAAAAACGAAACTAATAGAAACAAGTATTTCTCCTTACTAAAAGCCATTCCAATTATTCCTCGTCCTAAGTTTCCAAATAAAGATAACCAGATAAACAGGTTGGTAGTAGAGATGGACCCTCTTTAGTTTCCTATTTTGGCAGAAATGTCTGTGAAATATTTCCTTTCTACACTACAAAAGACACTGGCTAATGGCTTTATTGTTCTCTATTTTTGTTTTGTTTTGTTTCGTTAGGAATGACTTCAAATCTAACCTACCACTATGGGTATGACTTTTTTCCTAGCAACAAATCATGAGTGTTTCTGAAGTAAATTTAACAGTCAATTGTGTAATATTCTTTTGATATATTAGCAGTTGCTAATACTTTACTGATTTTTTATTTTGATTAATGGTCTTGTTCTAATAGCTCAATCTTCCCTTGAACTTATAGCAACCCTCCTGCATCAGCTACTTTACCTTTCAATTATATACTGAGATTAGTTTGTGTATATGCATTTGTAGGTATACCTCACAGCTGAGCAGTGGTAGTACATGCCTTTCAACACAGCAATTAATGAAATTATAGGTAGGGCTATTGGTATTATGTTTCATATAAGTGATATGGAAGTAATTGATGTAAATGAGGAGGCTCACTTAGGAGGCTGAGGCAGGAAGATCTCTGAGTTACAGGCCAGCCTGGTCTACATACTGAATTCCAGAAATACACAAAGAAATCTTGTCTCGAAAAACAAAAAACAAAAACCCAAAACAAACAAAAAAGCACCACAAAATGTCTATATGTTTTTATCCTTTCCTCCATGTCTGTCTATTTTTGGTTCTTTGTGACATGATCTGGTATCACTTTGTAGCTCAGATGCTCATCAGATTCACAACAATTTTCTTGACTCACCTCTACAGTACTGTGGTTGTAAGTGTATGCAACCATGCCTACCTACTGTACAGTCTTCTTGTCTGTCTTTACACAAAGTTAATCTATTATGAGTTAAATGTTGTTTCCATGGTTTGCTTCAGACAAAGCCTGCTCTCTTAGCTGAATACAGCAATTCTTAAATTGCAGTCCCAGTCCACTGTAACTTGCACCTCTTTTTTTTTTTTTTTTTTGTTTGCTTGCTTTGTTTGCAACAAATTGCAATAAACTGGACATAGATCTAGACAGCTTTAAAGAAGCAAGTCCTCGGACTAGGCGGTAATGGTGCACACCTTTAAGCACTAGGGAGGCAGAGGCAGGCAGATCTCTGTGAGTTCAAGCCCAGCCTGGTCCACAAAAGCCAGTTCCAGAACAGGCACCAAAGCTACAGAGAAACCCTGCCTCGAAAAGTCAAAAACAAACAAACAAACAAACAAATAAATAAATAAGAAGAGGAAGAAACAAAAGCAAAGCAAGTCTTCCTTGGCCTACCAATTGCTAGGATTACAAGGATATTGCCTCTACAGCCTACTGGATTATATATTATCCATCTTTCTTCTCTAGAATGTGAGATTGCTTGATGCCAGTTAGGCTCCTTTTTATATAAAACTTATTCTTTTCTCTGGAAACAGATTTTTACTCATCTTTGATATTCACGAATTTGATCACCCTGTACATCACTATATATGCAGTATCCCCATTCCTTCCTGAATAGACAAAAATTGGCTGTTCTGAATTGTACTATTCTCAAACCCTTTATCACTTTTCCGTGTGTTCAAATATTGCTTCTTGCCTTTTACTTTTACAAATCATAGCACTTTAGATTTCAAAGATTTTTCTCTAGAATAAGCCCTTCCAATTGATTTTATCACCTACCACCTTTTGGTCTATAATGACAGAATTCTTTTCTTTGATTTTATTCAAAATTGGTAATTTGGGAGTTCATATTTATTATGTACCCTCTTTAATATACAATATTAAGATAACAGAACGATTTCTCTAGTTTTAAAGAATTTACATATTCTAATTCAATCTGCTTACATGCCTTTATTAATTTGTTCAACTGTGAATTTCCTTCAAAACATTCTTTTGCAAGATTTTGCTTGTTCTGGTAGTCTGCGTCTATGAACTCTCTCTGGTAGCTAGTTTTCTTTTTATATGCACTGGTATATCCACTTCCTAATTATGAATTTTAACTACCCTAAAGCTGAACACAAATGCTGGGTCACTTTAATGGTGACATTCTAAGAGTATAGCGCAGACACATTTTTCCTCTGGTCAAGCCACATTCTAGCTAACAATATAAAAACAAAGAAGTATTTTCTCTCCCTCAGCTGCAAAAGCTAATGTTTACTTACATGCAGGTAGGGAAGCTCACCACACTGCCTATTAGTATCTCCAGGAGACACAGAATCACTACTCCTCAGATAAGAAGTGCCAAGAAGGAGAGGTTGCACTCTTCTCTTCTTACATAGCTTTCTTTAAGACTCGAGTTTTGATTTTACCCTTGTCAACCAAGATAAATGGGAGAAGAACCTTTACTACTTATGTCCCCTTGATCAGAGCAGCTGCTCTGATATTATCAAATAAACTCCCCAAATATTGTTCTGTCTGTGATATCTTGTGTGTTTTCAAACCTCTTCTTCTATTTCTAAGAACATAATTTAAGTTAGGATTTCTTCACTGATTTTCCAAGATGAAGCCTATTCACAGTTATCCATTCTGCATGAAACTTACTGGGAAGAGGTCTCTTAAAGGCTAATTTATTACTGTTTATCACATGGAACAGATCCACAAATAAAAGAAATTTCTACCAAAAGTATTGTGGAAAACAATATGTATACCATATACCATACCATACATATGGTGGTTTGATTATCACAATTGCTCTGAAGAAAAAAAATGGTATGTTAACCTAATAAGATTTACATAAATGGAATTAAATTACTTTTGACTCTATTACTGAATCACATGAGAAGTATTAAATGAATTATAATTGAAATTATATATAGGTTATGGTTACATAGAAAATTCTCTTTATGTACTTTACAAAAGCAAACATGCAGTCAATCTACTCTTCATGGGGAAAGAGTGGGAAACGGGAGTTGATGTTGGAGCTCCAAGAAAGAATGAGTAATATTCTTTAAAAGAATGGAGGATTAGAGAGATGGTTCAGTGGGTAAGGACATTTGCTGCTCTTCCAGAAGACTTGCGTTTAGTTCCCAGCACCAACATAGTAACTCAACCATCCATAACTCCAATTCCAGGGGATCCAATGCCCTCTTCTGACCTCCAAGAACATCAGCTATGTGTGGTGTACATACAAACATGCAGGCAAAATACTCATATACATAAATTAAAATAATTTGAAAAAAATTTGCAGGGGGAAGGACCAGAGAAGTGGCACACCCTAAAGGCACTTACTGTGCTAGCCTAGGTAATAAAATTTGACCTTGGAATACATATAAAGGTAAAAGGAAAGAACTAACTACATGGAGTTGTCCCCTAACCTTCACTAACCTTCATACATATGCCTGGGGATGTTGACCTAAGACACACAAACACACACACACACACACACACACACACACACACACACACGGAGAGGGAAGGAGAAAGGGAGGAACAGAGAGAGAGGGAGGGAGAGAAGAATAATAAGTAATTTAAAAAATATAAAGGAGGAGAAAAAAGACCCATGATTAAAGACCCAAATTAAAATTATTAAGGGTAAGAGCTAGCTTTCTTTTTAATTTTTATATTATATTTTAAATTTGTTTATTATGTATATGTTTAGCTAAGTCAGCATGTAGAGGTCTAGACCAACTTTGGGGAATCTCTCCTTTCACAATGGGGATCTCAGGGATGGAACTTAGGTCACTAAGCTTAGTGGCAAGCATCTTTCCCTGATATGCCATCTTTCCTATCAGAAAGGAAAGAAGATCTGAATTTCTAAGTTAGGTACGATTGTGTAACTAAGGAGTTATCTCTAGGGTATTTGGGGATTGCTGTTTTGTTATTGAGACAGCATCTCACAATGAGCCAAGTTGACTTCAAACTTGCAATCCTCCAGACTCAGCCTCTTAATTAACTTCAATTATAGATGTGAGCAGACAGGTCAAGTTTCTTTAAGGGAAACAGCAGAATTAGTAATGGTTACTACTTCATATTAACACTGGCCAAGTGAAACAAGACAGTATTGTGAAAGAAAGCATGAGTAACACACGATACTTCAAGGTTCTTATCTCTAATTTCTGTCCATAACTCTCTCTTATATCTGGGTCTGTTTTACTTAGCATAACTGAAATACCTATAATAGCACTTCTACTTATGCTTTTACAGATGGGAAATGCATCAGCCATGGTATTCTGGAGGCCCTGAACATCTCCCAACAGTCACTGAAAGAAGAGCTAACCCATTGTTTATCAGTTTCCTTGAACACAGGGATGCTATGTGGCCATTTCTCACTTTCCTCTCTCTCTCTGGGAGGCTGTCAAGGAAAAAAAAAAGATGCACGCTCACACCCTCACAAATTGTATTGAAACATGAGAATTTTCTGTCTCACTCCTGCAGGACATCAGTGGACTATAAAATGGCTAAAGATGAAACTCTGTCCTCCTTCATTTTGCTCCAGTGTTGTTCTTGAATCTTGGTACAATGTATACTGATTTTATTAATACAGGTGGGCTTCAACAGTCTGTGCATTTCTATTAAGTTTATAGATGTCAATGCTCCCTATCAATGGCTTATATTCTAAATAGCAAGAGTTTAGTTGGTTAATTTGATTCTGTCATACATTATCAATTTTAGTGCTATACTGTTTGATTCTGCTGTAAATGGTGCTTTAACAATGTCAGGGAATGCCAGTTGAACAAATGTGAATGTATTATTTGGGCAGGTGTCTTTATAATTGCATATGAGGGATGACAGTACAAAGATCAGAATAACAATCTTTGCCCTAACATAAAAAAGCTTAGCCATATACATGGCATTGACAGAATGGCCATAATCAGCAATACAAATGACAACAAATATTGGTGAAGATGCTGTGACAGGGGACCTCTTATAAACTGTTAATGGGCATGCAGTATTGGGGAAAAAAAACTAGAAATAGCCATATGACCCAGTTATAGGACTCTTAGGCATATCCTCAGCAGACTATATCCTATTACAGAGACACCTGCATTTTAATGTCCACTGCCTCTCTTTCCAGAATAGGTAGAAAGTAGAATCAACTTGTATGTCCATCAATACACGAATGGGTAAGAAAACACATTGCAATATTACTCAGTAGTAAGAAAAATGAAATAATGATTGTAGGTTAAATGCAAGGAATTATAAAAAGAATTATAGCAACTAAAGTGAAGAAAAACAAATGTCGCATGATCCCTCTCAGATGCAAATTCTAGCTTCAAATCATTTGTTTCATGTGTGGAGCCAAAAAGGGGCATTTTTCAGTTGGGCAGTTGTGAAGGGACACTACTGGGAGTAGAATGGCTTGTGGGGGGAGGAGTATGAGCAAAACCAAGGGGTTGTAGGGAAGGCTAATCAAAAGGACGGAGTATGGAAAGCTCTATGGAAGCCTACTATCTCAAAATCCATTTGCAAAATATAACTGGAGTGATAGTGGAATACATGCGCTATGAAAGAAGAAAGGGTATACTGGAGGTGGGGAGAGTAAAGAACCAAGAATGGAGGTTGGGGATAGCGTAGAAGAGGGGGTATAGATCATGAACAAGTTTTGGCAATGTTTCCATTAGTATGCAAAGGACACAGGTTTCATAAAGTTGGACTAAATAACCTTTCTTGAATGGATTATTCAAGGCCATCTACCAGTGAAAGAGATCATGCAACTTTTTGTACATAAAGATATTAGACCTTCAAAGAAAAAAAAAGACATAAAATTGAGAAGGTGACATCTTGGGGAATATGTGCATAGCTGAATGAGGAAAATGGGGTTGGGTATATTATTTCATTTTACAGAACATGAAATTCTCAGGAAAGAAGACAAATTATAATTTAAAAGAAAAGTTGTTTCACAATAATATAGATCTGTTTTTTGTTTGCTTGTTTATTAAAAAGTTTTTTTTTTCGAGACAGGGTTTCTCTGTGGTTTTTTTGGAGCCTGTCCTGGAACTAGCTCTTGTACACCAGGCTGGTCTCGAACTCACAGAGATCCGCCTGCCCAAGTGCTGGGATTAAAGGCGTGCGCCACCACAACCCGGCTCTTATTAAAAAAGTTTTAATAGGTAGCCCAGTCTGACTTGAACTCTCAATTCTCCTTTTGATGATTCTGAATCTATACTTAAAACAGTATTCTATGGGAGTCCCATATGAGACCTTAAAAAGTTTAATGAGGAATGCCCCCAGCACATCAAATTATCTAGCTAAATGAGAGAACATTACAATAAAAATTGCTCACATTCCTTTAGTTATATATCAGAATATTTGTGGGAACACTAGGAAATACAAAATTATGTGACTGTTCATAGGGTCTGTTTCAGAGAAAAGCAGCATTATTTATTTGAATGGTTCTCTGGTTTTACCAAACTTAAGCATGTGAATTTATCTATAATACTCAAGTTTAACTAACAAAACTTCTTTCAATCTAGTGCTTTGGTAAACTTTTAAGAAAATTATAAAAAAAAATTATAAAAGAACCTACTTTTTAAAAGCAAGTACACATAGTAGTGCTATAAAGAGAACTTTAACATAATATTTAATAACAAAATTCAATGAAACACTAGTTTATCTACAAGTAAGCCTGTTTTAAAAGTGATTTCATTTATGGTAATAAAAAGAAACAATGTATTCAATATTAGAAGCCCATTAAGCAAATCATCAAGAATCTAGGAAAACTTGATTAAAATTCAATGCAGTGCCATGGGATAACACTGGAAGACAAAAAGTAAGTAAAATTTGGGTATCTAGACAAATTTAGTAACATAAAATTTGGAGAACATTTGTTCAGCTGAGTCTTGACAGCTGATAGCTGCTGGGAGAGAATCATTCTTTTTTGGAAGTGTTCTCACTATCAGGATTTCCTCCAGTGTATGACTCCACACCCATATACACATGGGCTACACTAACTGGATTTAGTGGGTTGGGGGGGAGGAAACAAAAGAAAAGGATATGACACTGGAAGAAGCATGCTGGCGTGTATTCTTTCGTGCACATGCGCGTGTGTGTACGTATGTATTCCATATATATATATATACATATATATACACATACACACATATATACGAAACAAGAAAGTTTAAAAGGCACAAGAAATAAATGCAAAGCTTTAAAATAATTAAATGCTACTTAGAAGTTTAAAAATTATAAAGCTAATTAAAAATGTTTGAATCAGGCCTCAATAATACCTATACATCTAGCTACACACAAAAAAGTAAGACTAACATTTACTATACTTATGCTATAAATGCTCAAGAAATTTCAAAACTTACCAATATTTTTAACTCTACTTTTCAGCTGAGAAGAATTCCTCTTCTTACTCTTTGATTTGGGAGTTTTGTCTTTAGAAGCCAGGCTGGCTTGGGCAGATGCTTTTCTTGTCTTAAATGTTTTAGTTACTGTTGTTGGATCTATGGGATCAGGCATACTGCTAAAACTTTCCAATGATTCTTCATCAAAATGGCGTCTTCTCCTGCTTGGATCTGGTTGATTTCTGCGGTTACTATTTGTAGTTTTCTCTACAGACACTGCAAATCCAGTCTTGAAAAGTGGTTTTTCTACTACTCCTTCTTGATCATATAACCATGGTGTCTTGGTGTTTTCAACTTCTTCTTCATGCTGCTTCTGATTCCTTACCAATATAAAAAGTTTTAGATATCACAATTAAGATTTATTTTTATCTACTGAAATCTCCACATATGGAATAGATTTAGGTGAATAAAATCAAGCTAGGAAAATGTTTTCACAAAAACATGCACTCAGTGTGGAAATACTAAGTGTTACAAATTAATTTTATCTTGGACCCTTTATTGGCAAGCTCTAAATCAAAGATCTAGTATTTATGATGTAAGAAGTAGGAAAGAAATGTAAATTCAAAAATGTAAGATACACCAGGCAAAACACGTTAGGAAAGGCTGTGAAAGAGCTGAGCTAATAGTCTGTGAACACACATGAGTTGTTCAAAGCCTTTCAACCAAACTGGAATCTGTGAAAACAAATGGCTACTCGATCAATGTACTCCACTACTCACTGAGTATAGCCCCTGTTGACCTAATGCCATTTCTCAGATTTTATCTGCTAAATGCTATCACTTATTTTAAAAATGCACAAAACAAAATTAAATGGGTCTGCAGGATTTCTCAGAAGTCTTTATATGCCAGTGTGCTTATAACTGTCTTAAAAGCAACAGTAAAAAAGAAATATACAGCTTTTGATTATAAAGCCTAGCAAGTGTTTTACAAAGAATATTTTTGGGAGACATGGACCTATACATTTTATCTGAAAACAAAAGTCAGAAATTTCGAGGTCAGAGGACAAACTCAGTGGAAACTGTTTTAGATGACCTGTGAACTAGAATTGTTTCTTTTCTTAAAAGAGTTTTATTTTCTTTTAGTCAGAAAAATATTCCACATATGGAAGTTAGACATAAAAATTTCTTTTTTTCTTTTTTGTTTTTTCTAGCCAGGGTTTCTCTGTGTAACAGCCCTAGTTAACCTTGCTTTCTAGTCCAGGCTTGAACTTAACAAAGATTCTCCTGCCTCTCCCTCCAGAGTGCTGAGAATTAAAGGTATGCATCACTAAGCCCAGCAAATTTCACATTTCAATCCCTATAAATGAAATAGAATGAGCACACAGCCACTCTCATCTTTATAGATTGTCTGTGGCTGTTTTTTTATTTTTCTGTTTTTGATTCTTTTTCAAGTCAGGGTCTCTCTGTAGCTTTAGCTATCCTGAAACATAGTCTTGAGACCAGGCTAGTCTTGTACTCAGAAATCAACTAATTCCGCCTCTTGAGTAGTAATGGAATTAAAGGTGTGCACCACCACTGCTGGAATTTTATTTATTTGTTTTTTTAAATAATAAAAACGGCATAGATGATTGGTTATGACAGAGAGAACATAGTATGCCTGACTTAAAATATTTGTTAGCAATTTACAGTAATGCAGTATGTTTATGACCTTTATTACAGACTACCAGGTTTGAACTCACTCACTGTCTTTAGTTACTTAACTCAGGTTCAGACTTGATAAGATAAAGATAGCTAATTTGAAATATTTTAAGTAGCTAAAACAAAATATGTAGTTCCATCCTAAGCATGACATACTTAATGCAAAATCAGAGTAGTTTCCATATCGAGGGTATACAAAACATGGATAGTAAGATGGAAAATCACAGCAGGAAGGTTAGAGTCAGAGCTCTTTTACACTACTGTGCCAGAGAATATAGCTAGGGAAATTATATTAAAAATTAATAAATATGAGAAAGAATATAAAATCTTATGAATGATATCATGTACTATCAATACTTCCTAGATAAAAGTTTGTTTGACAGAATTTTATTATGTAGCCCTCACTGGACCAGAACTCAGTATATAGACCAGGCTGGTTTTGAACTCCAAAGATCTACCTGCCTCTGCCTCCCAAGTGTTGGGTATCAAGGCATGAATCACCATGTCCAGCTAAAAGTTGTTTTTATAATAAAATAATATCCTATATAATAATATTTGAATTGTCTATAGAGGCTACAAATCAAACAACTCAGTTTCCAGTACTAAGACAGTAAACACTGAACTTTTTTAACCTAAAAGGAAACATCAAATCAAGAATAAATCATACATTTCTGGTGACATCATATGAATCTTGTAAGATACCCTGGACCAAAACTCTGGCAGCTGGACAAGGATCAGTTCTTTAGCTTAGGGGATAGCTATAAGATGTATAAACTTCATATAACCAATACTATATATCAAGGTACTATATATCACAAAAATTCTCCCTGTGTTATGTCACATAATAGGTGGGCCACCAAAATAGGCTAGCATGTAAATGCTGCCAAGCCTGTTAACATGTGTTTGATTCCTAGGACCCACATGGTGTAAAGAGAGAACCTACTTACTCTCTCAAATTTTCCTTTGACCTACACACACACACACACACACACACACACACACACACACACAATGTAATATTAAAAAAATTTAAGTCAATGGTAAAACATTAGACTGTGATACAATCAGTACCTTTGCTTTTCTGCTCCAATAGAAGAATTGCTTTCAAAGGGTTTTGGAAAAGCCATATACTCTGCTTTTCCTGAAGAATTCTGGGCTAATGGCTGCTGCTGTTCAGTAGGTGTAGAAACATTCTGAGAAAAATCTCCAAAATTAGAAGGAAATAGAGGGCTGAAATTCATTCCTAATAAAAACACGGGAAAGAAAAAAATAAAGAAGTACCTTAGCCTCAAATGAAATTAAAATTTATTCTTAAGAGCTTTAAGTGACTAAATATTCAGTCCAAAGCTACCAAAACAAATTGCCAGGTCAATAAAATAATGCTCATATATTCATTTACTACTTATAGCTCATACTACTACATCTGAGATATTTGTGATACTAAAGTAATTAATGGTTCTCTCTTAAGAACTAGAAGTCAAAACTAAAGAGATAGCTCTTATATACCTAAGAGCACCAGCTGCTCTTCCAGACGACCAGGGTTTGATTCCCAGAACCTATTTGGCAGCTCACAGCTATTTGGAATTCATGTCTCAGGGGATCCTATGAGCTCTTCTGGCCTCCAAGGACACAGCACACATGTGATACACATGCATTGAAATACATATAAAAATAATACATAAGAAGGAAAAAAAACAAACAATAAACTAGAAGTTACAAGAGTAGAGAGACGGATGGCTCAGCAGTCAAGAACATGAACTCTTCTTGTAGACAGAGTTTAGTTCCCTGAACCACACACTCAGTTTCAGGGGATATGACACCCTCCTCCAGCCTCAATGGGTACTGTACTTATGTGCACAAATCCACATTCAAACACAGATATACATACATAATTAAGAATCAAAATTTAAAATCTTAAAAAAAGTACTAGAAGTCATAACTAGCAGTGCTTTTATCAAATTATTATTGGGTGTCAGACTTAAGGATAAGTACTTTATATACAATTTCACTTAATATTCAAAGTAATGCTACAAAATTGATAATAATTCATTAATTCATTTGGCATACGTATGAATATTAGTAATAACATGAACATGAAAATGAGTATCAGATGTATCTTGTCATTTATTACTTAAAGTCTACTCAAACAATATTTGCTATCAATATTAGTCAATACTCATGAAGTAAAAAAGTTCAAATTTTAATGCCCATGCTTTGAAATCCTGTTAAGAAAATACACTGTGAAATATGGATATTAATATTTATGAAAGATTCTCAATCTTTATGTTTTCTACATTCCTCAGCAAATACATTCAATTCTTCCTTCTTAATCACCTGGTCACTTGGCCTATTCTAATACTTTCAACTGTTTTCTTTACCATTAGTGTCATGCTTTATCACTGTTGGACTAACACTCTTGGACTAATACTAAGAGTCAGTATTCTTTAAGGTTGCAGTCCCTAGCAGGTTAACTACGCTCCAGCGGATGGCCCCACACACAGCAGTTTATGTGCAGCTAAATTAGATTTGGTCATTTTTTAAAAAGTATGAAAAATTGGGAGAGGGTGGATGGTTGATTTGGAAAAGTATGGAGGATGATTGGGCAATAAATATGACCACAATACATTTTATGCATGTAGGATATTTCCAAGGAATAATATTTATGTATTATTTTAAAACATTCACGTAATATAGACAGAAAGGGGGTTCACAAAGCCCTATCCCTTCTTGAAAAGCTACTGTCAATTGATCATTGCACATACTAGCATGCTAAGTGGGCTTGGTAGGTTTAAAAACAAAACAAATAAACAAAAAAATAGTACATGAAGTTGGGAGGTAAAAGTGATGATGTGGGATATAGGAAAAGTTCATATAGAGGGGGAAATTTGCTCCAAACATTATATGCATATAAAGAACTATGAAACAATAAAAAAGGAAAACCAATACAATAGAAATTAGAAACTCAAACTCTTTCTTTTTGGAGACAGATCTTGTTTAGCCCAGTTTGGCCTCAAACTCAGTGTGTATCTGAGACTGGCCTTGAGTTCCTAATTCTACTGCCTCTACTTCCTTAGTGCTGGAATTTTAGGTATGCAATATCATAACCAGTTCAAAATTTTTGCATTTACTTATTTTTCCTTCAGGTTTTCAGTTACTTACCTGGTGCAAATGATGGAAAGTTAGTAAATCCAGGAAGATTCAACAGATTTACAGGCTGTGTTGGAAAGCTGAAAGGACAAAATAAATTGGGAGAAGAGGGGTGTGATGCACTACTGCCTCTTTCTTTGCTTCTAGTTTTTTCTGGATGTTGACTTTGTTGACGCATAAGTTCAGTTAGCATTTGTTTTAACCTACAAAAAAGGTAAACCAGTAATTTAAAAGTCAGTTAAAAGTACCAGCAACAAAAAAGGTCTACTTTAAAAGTCAAACAAAAATCAATATAATAGTACCATCAACAAACTAAATTAAAAAACAATACACCTAAGAAATGACTGAACAGCACTCAGGATGGCGAGGCTACTCTGATCCTACAACAAGTATCTGCTTGCTCTGCTGGCCTAATTCAATAAATTAGCTGTTGGAACAAGTACTGAGCTTAGTACTAACAGACAGAGGTATAAATGTCAGAACCTAAATTTACTGTGGTATAATTTATATACTATATACTTTACCCAACATTAAGTATATAATTTAATACCAATTTTATAAATAAATCTCAGGCCCACAGTAACAGATCATGGCTTGTAAGTTTCAGACAATAGACCAACAGCAGTTTGGCTCAAGTCTTTCTCTCCTTGAAGGTAAGTGTAAAACTCTTTCATTTTAGCACTACTATACAGTAGCAATACTTGTGATCAAGCAGATTACCTTTGAACATTATTCTGTTGCCACGTTAGTTGTGTGTAGCACTGGTTCAGCTGGTGCATTATAAGGTGTACCTGAGGAGATGCCACATTGCTTGGCATAACACTGTAAGGACCTGTTAGAAGAGTTTGCAGCAAACAAGATAAAGTCTGTTGGAAGAAAATTTTGGCACCAGTTAACCAATGTCTTGAAGAAAATGTGTACTGCTTCAAAACTATGTAAATTAAAAGAATATATTTCAAAGATACAATTTACCTGCTGGTCTTGCATCAAAGTCTGACAAATATTGACACTGAAATCAAGCTGTTTCTTTAGCTGATTAATTTGTTCTTGCCACTGCTCTTTCTCTTCTATGTAGGAGAGCTCTGACACCCATCGAAGGTTTTCTTGTCGTTGCATGCTGATATTCTGTTGCCTTGTCTTGGCTAAAGGACGATAATTTCCATCTGCTGAAACAGGGCGATTATTCTTCCACCTAATGGAGAATTTAGAACCTTAAGTCATCACATGTGATAATTCAAATTTTAAAATACAGTAACAAACATCAAATCCTATTCAACAGACTAGTATTTCTTCATCATCATCAAACAAGAAAAAAAGGAAAAAAAAGACTTCCAGCTCATCCAATTATTCTCTAACTGCTTTCTAGTTTTTCTCATTTGTCTTCTTACACTATAATCTAACTATAGTCTACAAAATAAAAACAATCTTTTGACTAGAGCAGTTTTTTATTCTTCAAGGTTAACTTCATCAAGTAGCAATATTATATTTAGTTAACATTTATTAACTAAGTTTTATCACTACTAGAAGTAACAATGCAGACCAGAGACAGGAGAACATTTGCTACCAATACTGATAACCTGAATTCAATCCCAGAGACCCACAGGCAGAAAGAGAGAATCTACCCCTGCAAGGTGTGCTTGTACCTCCATTTGTGCACTATGACACAAATGCATATACAAAACCATGCACACACACACACAAATATAATTAAAAAGCAAACCATAAATAACAATTAGGATTGCTTCCTGCTGTTTTTGCTTTGCTTTGTTTTAAAGAAAGGGTCTCACTACATTGTTGGGGTCTCAAGTGATCCTTTCAAGCAACAACCCAAGTCGGGCAGTGGGTGGTGGCACATGTCTTTAATTCTAGCACTTGGGAGGCAAAGGCAAGCTGATCTCTGTGAGTTTGAGGTCAGCCTGATCTAAAAAAGCTAGTTCCAGGACAGGCACCAAAGTTACACAAAGAAACCCTCTCTTGGAAAAAAAAGAAAAAAGAAAAAGAAAAATTCAAGCAGCAGCCAAGACTTTTAGGATATACCACTGCTGCAGTAATATAATTAGTTCATTAACATAACTTTTTTACCATCTGAAATATTTCATCTTTTGCTTAATTCTCCCCAAGAGAAGCAAAGATGAAAGCTTAGGAACAATTCTTGATCTGGTCAAGGTGGGATCTATTGTAGCAACATCTTTATGTTAAAAATGAAATATGAATCTAGTTTAAGAACTACCCAGTGTTCTGTGTGCCCGCCCCCCTAAAATTTTAGAATCTCCTGAGCGGCAGATTCTCTTTTTAGAGTAAACCCCTTTTATCCAAGCCAAAACTTATAACAAAGATACAATCCTTAGAAAGCCCTTGGGGGGGAAGGGGTGTCTCCAGAAAAACCAACTATGTCACTAAAGAGCAGTTACTTCCAGACCCACCCACTGACCTTTAGGGGAGGAAATGGAACCAGAGATTGAGTCTGATTATCAACGGCCTATTTATTTAGTCAACCATGGCTACATAAAGAAACTTACTTCCATAAAATCTCTTTAATAATGACTTCGAAGAATATCAAGGGTGGTGACCAATGAAAGTGCTTATATCCAAGGCATGGAAGCGCTCCACACTTTCTCACTCTAGACTCATTCCTCATAACTATTCCACAAAGATCAAAACTTCAGAATACCAGTTTATGGTAATGTGATTTCCTGAGTTGTAGCAAATTATTAAATCTAAAGTCAGACTGGGGAAACTCTCACTTTAATCGACACAGGAGAATACAGTTAAGTTGGGCACTTACACTGAAAAGAATGCGCTTATAGGACTAATCTGTGAGATCTGCATTACCTTTGAGTAGTTGGTACCATTACTGAACCAAAATTCAAGGTACTGGATTAGTATGTTGATGTGAACCACAAAGTTTTGGTACCATAAAAACCTGAAATACTTAAATTCAAATAAAATTTTAACACTGAAACTAACCTATTTTTAGTTTCCTTTACATTATAAGAACTTTGATTCATACTAGGGTGATAACTAGGAAAGTTATCATTGGAACTGGCATCTTGCTCTTCTTCTTCTTCTTCTTCATCTGTCCGAACAATTCCTTCTGAAAGATAACCATCTTCATCTCCTTCTTCATCTAATGCACACTGAGTAGAACCTCCCCAAGTTGCCATTGTTCTAGGGATAATGAGACATAAAACAGGCATCATTATGGAGATTAGCTAGATATTTTAAGAGTTACAATGCTCAAGATTTATTTATATATATACGAAAGCATAAACATATACAAAAATTATAATAATTCTGTGAGATGCTATCTTCTGTTGCTGTCATACAAAATGTGTAGCTTGCCTTCCACAAGAAAATATTTCATAGAAATTAAAATAATCATCATATCTGGAATTTTCTCCTAATCTAAACTTCCCTCGGCCATTCCCTAGGTGATAGCACTCTATTCTACCTAACAGAGCTTTCTGCAATAGTGGTAACGATCTATATTGGTGCTGCCCTATGCAGTAGATATAGATACATATGAATACTAAAGCACTTAAAATTCTACCCATGTGACTAGAGAGAAAATGAACTAACTTTAACTTACTTTAAATAGCCACCATATCTACTGGTATATTAAAACACACAACCCTAGACCTAGACATGCTAAACTGTCTCCTTTCACAATCCCTTTCCATTCAAGAAATTTTTGCATGCCCTGAGTATAAAGATGGATCAAATAGGTATGCAATCTAAACATCTTCAGATAATCAAAGAAATTTATTTTTAAAAATTCTTTGGCATATATAAACACAATCTTATCATTTATTAAAAAATACTAAGGGGATGATATACTTGTTTATTTTTATACAAATAATTAAATCTTGGCTAAGTGATGGGGGCACATGCCTTTAATTCCAGCACTTGGGAGGCAGAGGTAAGTGGATCTCTGAATTCGACCAGTTTGGTCTACAGTGTGAGTTTCAGGACAGTTAGGGCTTCACAGAGAAACCATCTCAAAAAAAAAAAAAAAAGAAAGAAAGAAAGAAAGAAAAAGAGAGAGAGAGAGAGAGAGAGAGAGAGAGAGAGAGAAAGAAAAATCTTTGAGGGACTAGAGAGATGGCTCAGCAGTTAAGAGCACTTGCTGTTATTTCATAGAACCTCAGTTTACTCTTCTGCATCCACAGAAGACAAACTCACAACCACCTACAAATATAGCTCTAAGGAGATCCAATGGTTATAGCCTCCACAGGCTTACGTGCTGGCATATACATACTCCTATACATACACATACATAATTGAAAAATAAAATAGAAATTAATTAAAATGGTAGGAATATTTGAGACTGAAGTACACAGGACATCTTTATTGTTTTCAGTTCATCAATAAATACTTTGAGCTCATAATTTTAAATGCTTAGAATTCTACTTTGCATAAGTGAGTAATACAAAATTACAGAAGGATTTTTCAGATAATCTTGGAAAATATTGGAAAATCTATCCTAATCAAGCCAAAACTCATTTTTTTAAGTTTTTTAAGTCAGCAACTCAAAGTAAAATTTTTTACATTAAACAATAGAACAAAAAATAATGCAAAGAAAGACTAAATTTGATGCGAACAGGATAAAATATGATAAAAAATTAAATGTTTTCATAACTAGACTTGTTAAAAGTGGAAGATTTTGTATGTGCAGTAAAAACAGCAATTTGTACCACACAAATGTTTGAGGCAGTCTTTGTCAACATGTTGGGGTGGCCTTGTAGGCAGTACATAATGCACATATATGTTTCTTAAAGCCAAGGCTATAGTTAAATCACATGCTGCAACACAGGTTGGCAACACTGGAAACATCTTGGATTCACTTTGCATTTAATTCTGAATATATTTTTGGCTGAATATATTATTAATAATAAATTGATTATGAAATATATTTTGTATGATTGAAATAACCAAAAAATTTTGCAAGTCCTGCCTCCACTCAGTTGTATTCAGTAACATGAACCCATAGGAGGGGTCACAAGCCACAGGTTAAGAAATGAGTCTCTACACCAGTGATTCTGAAACCAGATGCTCATCAAAAATATCTCAAGACTTCTGTGAAAGAGCAAATGCTCTGCCAGAAGAGAACAGAATATTATGTAAATAAAATGTACATTGAGACTTTACAAGTATAAAAACTCCTAAGAAGAGAGCATGTGAAACATTCTGGAAATGTCATCTGATAAGGCTTCAACCTATCTAGGTTTCAAAATTTTAGATTAAATACTACTATATAGCTAGTTATTTTACAAATAACTAATTCTTTTACAAATTTTCCAAATGTGGACACTTCAAACTTATTTCTAAATATTTAATGTTTTATATAAAAATACTTTATGATGCCGGGTGGTGGTGGCGCACGCCTTTAATCCCAGCACTAGGGAGGCAGAGGCAGGCGGATCTCTGTGAGTTCGAGGCCAGCCTGGTCTACAAGAGCTAGTTCCAGGACAGGAACCAAAAAGCTATGGAGAAACCCTGTCTCAGAAATCAAAAACAAAAAAAAAAAACAAAAAAAAACTTTATGATTATTCTCAGGAACCTTAAAAATGTTAGTTACACAATTTAAAATAAAAAAATATTTCAGCAGGGAGGTGGTGGTGCACAACTTTAATTCCAGCACTTAGGAGGCAGACGCAGGAAGATCTCTGTGCATTGGAGGCCAGTCTGGTCTACAAGAGCTAGTTCCAGGACAGGCTCCAAAGCTAGAGAAACCCTGTCTCGAAAAACAACAATAATAACAACAACAACAACAACAACATAAATAAATAAATAAATAAATAAATAAATAAATAAAAGATAAAAAGTATTTCAACTGGGCATGGTGGAACTTGCCTATAATCTCAGCCCTGAGGTGGAGGCAAGAAGCAAGTTCAAGATTATTTTGAGCTCCACAGTAGCTCAAGGCCAGTCTTTGTTACCTGAAACTATGCCACAAAACAATATATCATTCTAGTCTGAAAAACAACACCACAAAACATCACATATTTTTCATTTTATAATGAAATTTTATAAAGTATCAAACTTAGCAAAGAAAGTAAACTTTGAAAGATTATCCTGCAGCAGTGGTGCAGACAGATCTTTGCGAGTTCAAGGACAGCCAGAGCTGCAAAACAGAGAAACCCTGTCTCGGAAAAACAAAACAAAACAACAAACAAACAAACAAAAGATCTGTATCACCATTTGATCAAATACTGTAAAATACCATAGTAACTGAAATAGAAAGGTAAGCTGCAGAACAGAAAATGGCTGGCTGGAATGAGTCCTTAGTCACATATGGAAAAATAGCCGGTCAGTCATACAGTTGACTTGTTTGTGCTGTGTTGTGGAGGAAAATGAGTCTGCCTTGCTTTTAAGTTCTGGGTAAATGGTATTTTAAAAATATATTTTAAACAGCTTTCTTACTTTTCTGTTCTGCTTTGCTGAGGGGTACACAGATTCTCAGATCCATCACTTCTCAATGATAACGATATAGCCACTGGAGAAGAAGTCTCCGCTAGACCTTGCCTCCTCTGGTGTTCAGCCATGAGAGCTTCAAGTTGCTTCCTTCTCTGTCGTAGCTCTTCCCTTAACATTTCATGTCTTCGCATGTCTGACCACAACTATTATTTTAAAAATCAGAGTCAAGTAAATATTTGGATTTGTTGAAGCCTTAAAGAATAGAAGTCTTAACGATATTGTCAGTTCAACAATAATCTATTGCCAATGTTTCCACTTTCATTCTACGATATCCATCTAGGGAACCAGAGAAATCACTCAAGTTAAGAATGTATACTGCTCTGCAAATTTTTGGATCTGAATTTAGTTCCCAGCACCATTATCAAGTGGCCCACAACTGCCCCTAACTCTAGATCCCAGGGATACCTGACACCTCTGACCTTCAAGGACATCTACACTCACTTGTACATACATATCCCCCAACAACCGGCACAAAATTAAAAATACTAAAGCTAAAATCTTTTAAAGATGTTCATAAGGGTTAAACAGTATTTTAGGGATAAGATAAAGGCAGTCATAAATTGTTCGGGAAACTAAGAAATACTCATGAACTATTTGGGAAAAGCTATGATATTTTTCTACAAATCAAATATAAATGAAATACTCAATAGGCCCTTCTAACTAAAATGATTTGTGTTTGCTATAATTGTTCCTCATATTTGCTAATAAAGAATTTGACTATTTTAAAACAATACCAGCATAATCTGGGGTAAGATTTATTCCCCAACTAAAAGAGACACAGAAAATATACTTCACATATATCACCCATCCAATAGGTCAAGGGCCCCAAAGACCCATCCCAAGAGCAACTTTTCTCCCCATCTTTCCCCCCCAAAAAAACTATTTTACAGATTTGGGAGTTAGGATCCAACTGAGGAACAACACAGTAGACTGTACCATACCTCATTATCCACTACTGAAGAATCTTCAGGCTCAATAACAGATTTGCTTGTGCTGGTCTCATTTTCATTAACAGTTGGAGTTGAAGTAATAGCTGGGAGATACTTTTTGGTGGGACCGCTACTCATACTAGTGGCTGATAGCTAAATGAACAACAACAAAAACAAAACAAATGTATATGTATATACATATGCATATATAAAACAAATATTACTATAAAGTACTAAAATAACTGAATTTATCTCATAGTTATTTTACTTCTCTAGAGCTCTAGTGCCGTATTAATCTGATATTGGGACTACAATCACTACCATGATCCAAAGACAACAGAAGAGAACAAAGATGATAACAGGCTAAAGGTGATGAGGAGTAAACAATCAGGAACAGTAAAAACAACAGGAGGCAAATACTGGGGAGGGGGTTTTACACTAAACCCAACCTTGCACATACTCCTCTGGATATTATTTATATTGGGGATAAAAGACAAGAGGATTAGGAAAAAATAGAAAAAGTACAAACTTAGAAAATATTTGTATTAGAAACATAATTTGATGTTCTTTTTTCAAAAACAAAATATGGGCCTAGAGAGATGGCTGAGAGGTTAAGAGCACTGGCTCCTCCAGAGGACCAAGGGTCAATTCCCAGCACCCACGTGGCAGCTCATAACTGTCTGTAAGTTCAGTTGCAGGGGTCCTAACACCTTCACACCAATGCATATAAAAATAGTTAAATAAATTATTTTAAAAAGCCCAATTCCAAAATAGAAGCAATCACTTGATTCCCATGTACTACCTTTCAAAGGAGAAACATACCCAAACCCATTTCCTTATTAATTCACTCATCTCAGCACTCAGAAAACTAGCGGTAAAGACAGACATTAGGTTTTAAACATTTTTCAAGCACACTGAAAGAAATAAATTTACAATTACCTGAAGGTCGGGGCATGCCTTTTGTACAGCTTGAATTTTCTCTTGAATTTCAATCAGTTTCTTTCTTTCCTCCTGCAACTGTTTCAGCTCTCTCTGTTGCTGCTGTAGTTTAGCCTCATAAAATTTCTCTCTATAATTAAAGTGACATTATCTGTGAACTTCAATAAAATTATACTAAGCAAAAAAACAACACAGTAAGAACCTTTCTAAATAAGTGGCTCTGAACTTTTTTTTTTAATGAAAGCCAAAAGCTTACCATACCTTGTTTTTTCATTTACTCCAGTGTCTTTTTGTGTTTTATTAGAATTCTCTCTTGCATTATTTGAGTTTTGTTTGGTATCTTCTGCTGCTGCATAGAAATCACCCAAATTTGATGTATTGGCAGAGATACTCACTGGAGCTGCGTCATCATCCTAAAACAGCACAATTATATAAAACTATTTTGACATCCAAAGAAATTATCAAATTTATACTTTACACAATTTACTAGGCTATAATACATAAAACAATACCACAGAGATATTATACTCTTATAATACTTTTACAGAAAGTCAAAGTGTATCTTTTATCAATGATAAATTAAGTGCTAAAACTAAAATGAGTCCATGAAAAAAAATTTTTTTTTTTTCGAGACAGGGTTTCTCTGTGGTTTTGGAGCCTGTCCTGGAACTAGCTCTTGTAGACCAGGCTGGTCTCGAACTCAGAGATCCGCCTGCCTCTGCCTCCCAAGTGCTGGGATTAAAGGCGTGCACCACCAACGCCCAGCTCCCATTAAAAATTTTTATTTGCAGTTCTGTGTATTGAATGTTTTATATGTCCATGGCCCTAACATGCACATCTATTGCCATGCACTGTCTTGCATGGCCTTATAACACTCAGTCAGAATGTGGACCCTTAACTCCTCCAAACTGTAAACTAAATGAGTTTCTTTTTCCTTAAAAAGTTACCTAACTTCAGATATTTCATTAGTGTTATGAATTAAGAAACCTTTACAAATTAACTAGCTACTTCTTATTTTGTTGAGATAATGGGCTGCTATCAAGAGCTCTGTGACAAATATAAAAAGCAAAAATAATTACTATGGAGCAGGAAACGATATTAACGTTATTTTACGATATCAAATGATATTTCAGGATTCAACCTCTATATTATTGCAAATAATCCATGCCCACTATCTGTTTAAAATTTGCCCTCTTACTCATTTCTGTCTTTAATTTGTCAAACAAGTACCAATAGTTATGATACAATGAAAAAAATGAGAGGGACATGATGGCTGTAATTCCTGTAATTCCAGTACTGTATTCAAGAGGCTAACAAAAGAAGAGATCTCCATGAGTTAGAAGACCAGCTAGGGTTATCCATAGTGAACTTCTGGCCAGCCCAAGATACAGAATGAGACCTTTCTCTCTCTTTTTTTTCTAGAAAAAAAAAAAAAAGACATCCTATCTAAAATCTATAGTGATTACTTCAAAAACAAAGTTTTTTTTTAATCTGACTAGCAGAAGATTTTTTTTTTGTTGAACTAATAATAAAGAAGCTGATTAATAGGGAGTTGAAAATGACCTCGTGCATTTTCTTGAAAATATTTAACTTATTTATATTCCATGCTTTCTCTGAAGATTACATCTGAAATTTAACTTTTGGAAATAATATTCTAATAAAATCATAACAAACTGATTCTTATTAATCATAGAACTATGAACTCTGAAATGACAATTCAATTCATCTCTGTATCAATCAAAAGACTATACCCAGTGAACATAGAAGAGGACAATGGCAAGAACTAGGCTATAACTTAAGAAATAAAGAAGCTGAAAATGAAGTACTTTCATAAAATATACATGGAAAAAAATAAAATGAGTTCTAATTCAAAACAAAGCTTATTTCTCATACTTCAGTTTTCCTATGTACTAATTTGTGATCTTAAAGGAGTGGTTCTCAACCTTCCTAATGATGTGACCCTTTAATACAGTTCTTCATGTCGTGGTGACCCCCCAGCCATACAACTATTTTCATTGTTATTTCATAACTGTAACTTTGCTACTGCTATGAATCATAATGTAAAGATCTGATATGCAGGATATCTGATATATGAGTCTTGTAAAGGGGTCATTCAATCCCCAAAGTGGTCACAACCCACAGTTTGAGAACCACTGTCTTAAAAAAAATAATGGGAAATTAATAGAAAACAACAATTAGCAAATATGAGTTCTTCCAAATATGTAAAAATATTCAGGATAACCTAGCTTATTGCGATTATTTGTTTCCAAAGCTGTTTCATGCATTTCAAAAAGTAGGAATTCAGAAAGATGCCCATCCATTCTTTCTATTAATTTCAATATTCATATGCAACCAATGTCATTAGCTTAGGTGCTCTTCCCGATACTCTTCAAATACATGACCAAATAAATCACATCTCAAAAGGTGTTCTTCTAAGTTATGCACGTTTTACATGCCTAAGTTTACTTGTATGCTTGTACATGTTTATGCACTTTCTTCAACAGCTTTTCTTCTCATAGGAATAATTTAGAAAAAAACAAAAGTCATTACCAATAATGTATAAACAAGTTATAGTATACCAATATAAAAAAATTGTAATCAAAGGTCTGGGGACATGAACTCACTTTGCTTAGAGTATCAATTAGCAGTAATTCTGGAGAGTAATTAGAAATTGTCCATTCAAATGAAAATGTATGGTAATACATAGCAATGGAAAGAATTAACAAACAAAAAGAAAGCAAAGAAATAATTTTACAAGTTAAACCATTTTTGTTACTCTAGAAAAATTTTACCTACCACAGGAAACTGTAAAATGCTCAGTAGATCTTTTGGACCACATTAGATAATAAAGAAGGGTTAGTATTTACATGTGCATATGTATAAATTATTTTCAAAATCATGTATTAATAGTTGAACTTTACTAACATGCTAACATTTGGATTTTCTTTTCTTTTTATTTTTTTACATCAAGTAGGTTAAGGTCTCAGGCTCTGCGATAGGCAATGTAAATTCTGGCAGTCATAATTATGTAACATTGGGGAATTAACACTTTTTCAATCTGTTTAATATCTACCTTATGATGATGCTATGGACCTATACATGAGGCCAGTATCATCAGCAAAAGCAAAATTATGTGGGGTTGTAGATCAAACTATACTGGTACACAGTCATGCTCTTGGGTTTTTATATACAGATGGCTGCACTCCTACTCTAAGTTGTAAAAGACGTTATTATAACAAAATTTACCTACTCTAATCCTTCTTCCCATTTTTTTTCCCCAAGACAGTCTTTTGTGCCCAAAGCAGAACTCCAAATTAGATTCAGCCAAGGATAACCTTGAACTCCTCCTTGAATTGTCTCCATTTCCCAAGTGATAGGACTACAGATGTTGCACCATCATGTCAGGCTCAATTTCTCAACTTTACCAGGAAAAGTTTGCCAATATCTGATATATAGCAATTAATCCACTAAACCTTTAATAGTAACATCTAAGACCCAAATACAGGGCTGGGGATGAAACTTTTGGTGGTAACATGCTTGCTTAGTTATGTAAGGGGTCTTAATTCAACATAAGAAATGGAAAGGAGTTATACCAATATAATCATCAAACATACACAAAAATTTCATCTTATATGACTATACTATTTAAACAAGTAACTTACCTGGACCATAGCAACAAGATCTTGGAGCTGTTTAAGTTTCTCTTTTGCAGCCATGAGTCTACCTATCTTCTGTTCAAATTCTTCATCTTCTGGTGCCTCATCAACCAGACTGCTCCTATGGCTAGATAATGAAGCCCCACTGACTCCTTCCTCCTCTACTTCCTCCTCCTCGTCATCTTCACCTTGTGCTACATGCAACCTCTGTTCTCCTTCTCTATTATATCGACAGTCTGTTAAAAAACAAGTATCATTCAAATAAATTATTTTAAAACTTTAAGAATATAAATCAAAGATAATCTACTTCACTAGAGTAATATGGCAACATTTCTGTGAATATAGGAAATCATACCTAATGGAGGCATGTTTAGAGCTCTGATGTTGGCAGCAGATCTGTTGTTAATTTCACAGTTAGAATTAACTGATCTACCATCTCTATTATTAGAAACACACTGTGTATTACTGTTACTATTCACTTCATTCCAGGTGGAAGCTACCTGTGGATTCCTGAAAGAAATTAATGCCCAGTTATTTAAAACAACAAAAATAAAAATTCAAAAAAAATCTACCTACATAGAGCTATAATAAACTAGTTTCAAGCAAAGAACAGCATTAACTAAACCATTTATATCAAATTCTTAATAATAGACTCCTATTTTTCATTAACTTTTCCAAAAACTTAGAAGTTTATGAATAAAAGCATGTAAAAACTCAAAATATACCTAAAGTATAGCAGTAGGAAAAGAAAATGCTCAATTTTATACTTTTTAAATTTACTTGCATTCAGTAACAAATAGCAATTTTACTAAATTACTGCCTTCAATATTTCCTTCCTTTTCTTTATGGGTAAGAATGATTATTACAATAAGTTAACTTACAAGGAAAAAGCTTAAATAAGAAGGAAACAATATTTCACTGATGTATCCCTCCATCCCAGCCCCCACACAAGCATTAAGTTCAGATGAATACATTGGGAAAAAGAAACTTAAATGCTGTCACCTAATGTTAGTAACAGGTTCAGAATTTTCATGATCAGAATCATAGTCTGACTCTTCAGTTTCTTCATCTTTTGTATTTTCATTTACAGCATCTGTCATCATATCTGATGTTTGTTCATAATAATGAACTAGTTCTCTCAATTCATTCAATCTCTTTTGAACTTCATTTAACTTCCTGATTAAAAAAAATATAAACCATTTTAGAAAAAAATACACTATTTCACTTAATAGCAGTTGGCACATACATCCACAAATATAGATAGACCAAGTTAAGTATTCAGGGCACCTGTCAATTTTTAAAAATACAGCTTCAGCTGTACATGTTGGCATCCCAACACTCAAGAGAGAGAGAGACAAGCACAACTCTGTTAAGTTCAAGACACCCTGGTCTATGTAGTAAGTTCCAGGCCAGTAAAAGCTGGCTATATAATGAGACCCTATCTCAAAACAGACAAACAGAAACAAAAGATAAAACAAAACAAGCAAAACCCCAAAGCATGAACTGAAATGTCATATACATCGTCCCTGTTTTGCAGGTGAAGAAGCAGAAGCTTTCCAAGTGTTCTGCTCACACTGACACAGTCTTGTATAAAACATCATTTCAAGGCTATGAGTCTAGAGTCTGGATCTTATTCTTTGAATATTAAAACATTTTACAGAGTTCTTGGTATTTCTAACTCTTTTACTAAAAAATGATCAATTAATAGCAGTCTACAGAAACTACCTATGCTATCTTATTTCTTTTAGTCAGCCAATAAGATTAATATATATTACATTCCCTCCTTTTTCCACCATATATCTGAAGAATGTTTATCTAACTCCAGTTTCTTACAAATTTTCGAAAGTTTAAAAATCCTCATTATTTAATTCTAATTACTTAATATATGTGAAGAATGATTGTAAAAAGTATTTTACTGTAGTTTTTCAGCTGGATTTAGATGACCTTCATTTTCACTCTCATTCTGAGAAACCAGAGAAGTCGCAGGACAAGGAACAGAGGATATAAGGCTATTGGATTCTCCATTGACAACTGGTGCAAAGCCTACAGGAGCAGAGAGAGCTACAGTTGAACTTCTCTTATCCCCACTTCTTTGGAGAGAAGTTGAAGGCACGACTGAAAAAGAGAGAAAAAGATACACAGTTACATAAATAAAAATGGCATGAAGCAGCATATTTTCACAGTTTGCATACTTATAAAAAACAGAAAATAAAATTCATTCACATCTTAAAATCTGCAGATTTAAATCCTAAAAGTTTATGTATATACACTTGCAGGCCACTTATTAACACAGTTTACAACAAAACACTTCAAAATACACAAGGAAAAATATTTTTACATCTTCCTTTTAGATAGTCTAGCACTTCTGCATTATAGTCACTGAATTAAAATAGAAGGGAGAAAATAAGACAGAAACTGCAAAGTATTACAATGCTATATGCTAGAAAAACAACCAAAAGAACAATAGCATAAACTTGTCTCACGTTAAGTTAAATGGTATCACTATGTATGACGTGCAGAACACAAAAGGCCAATCCTGGCAGGTAAATAAAAAGACTATGTATTTTTCTACCTCCTACTATTCCAAAAGTACTGTCATTTATCTTTTTCTCAGTGTGACTATCAGTGCTTCCTTCTCATTTAGTGCCACAATTATCACAGCTAGTTCCTAATGATCTCTTTTTTACACTATTCTTTAACCACTGTTCCTGTAACTACTGCTCTTACACTGTTTTCTAGAAGGAGGAGTGGTCTTTTAGTCAGTGGTCAGTCGGCAAAGTATGACATTCTTGGTATATAAAACTGACCCAAGGCCATAATCATACCTTACAAATTTTATTTTCCTTAGTTGCCTTCCTCTGTTCATAAAATAACTGATATTATCCTCTACAGGAAGAGGAGGGTAGCTAAGATCAAGAGGTGGGAGATAAGTGTTTCAGGGCAGAAACAGTAAGGTTTCTTTGAAAGTGGCAGAGAATCAGGAAATACGTGAAGAATAAAGAACTACTCCTCCAAGCTGGATGTAGCGGTGCAAACATATAGTCCAAGCCCTGGGGGAGACTGATGCAAGAGTGTTGCACATTTGAAGTGAGCCTGAGCTCCACTGTAAACCTTGTCTCAAAACACAAAAAATACCAAAAGAGAACATATGATTCTGTTATTTTGAATGACTTACTTATATTTTAAGTAAATATGTACCTGCATGAATTATGTGCATCACATGCATGCAAGTGCCCATAAAAACCAGATGCATAGAATCCCCTGGAACTGAAGTGACGGGCAGTTGTAAGCTACCTAATGTGGGTCATGGGAACAAAACCTGGGTTCTCTGCAAAAGCAGTAAGTGCTTTTAGCTGCTGAGCCATCTTTCCAGCCCAAGAATGGGGATTCTAAAAATGGTGTTCTTATCCACTATTAACTTCTTATTCGGATAACAACTGAATGTTATAATAATAACGGTCAGTTGAGTTACCCCAAGTCATTTCAATTTCTAGAAATTAAGCTTCTAATACTAAGGGGCAGGAACTAGGATTGAGAAAAACTTTTAGTAAAATGATAAAGACTAGATCTGAATTATCCAAACTTCCTTTTCTTTTCCTTTCTTTTCTTCCTTTCCTTCCTTTTTCCTTCCTTTCCTTCCCTTCTTTCCCTCCCTCCCTCCCTCCCTCCCTCCCTCCCTCCCTTCCTTCTTTCTTTTTTCCGAGACAGGGTTTCTCTGTGGTTTTGGAGCCTGTCCTGGAACTAGCTCTTGTAGACCAGGCTGGTCTCGAACTCACAGAGATCTGCCTGCCTCTGCCTCCCAAGTGCTGGGATTAAAGGTGTGTGCCACCACCGCCCGGCTCCTTCTTTCTTCTTCTTTCTTTCTTTCTTTCTTTCTTTCTTTCTTTCTTTCTTTCTTTCTTTCTTTCCTTCTTTCTTCTTTCTCTTTCTCTTTCTTTCTTTCTTTCTTTCTTTCTTTCTTTCTTTCTTTCTTTCTTTCTTTCTTTCTTTCTTTCTACTTAGCATCTATTTGGCCCTTTATCACATATTGGCTTATTAAGAGCTTTTCATATTCAAGTTTCTTCTTCAAAAATTATAATTTTTTTAAAACTGTATTTGTTACCTTATCAAAGAGTTACTAAGTGACTGCTCTGTGTCAGCGTATATACTTATATGCCCTTTACTTAACACTGCTGAGTCAGATTTACTCACATGATGAATTGTTCAGATGCTGATCTCGAAGGGTATGGAGTTCTCCAAGTAATTTGTCCATTTTCTGTTTCTTTTCCTGTAGTACTCTCATTTTACTAAAAAGCTGAACTTTCTCATCAGGTAAATGTTCGGAAACTGAGGGAT